CCCCAAAACCCCAAAACCCCAAAACCCCTAGACGAATGTAGACAATTGAAATATTTTTAGATATGGCTAAAAGGGTTCATAAAAGAGTAAAGTAAGTACCTTATTAATTTCAGAAAGCCATATTCCGAGGTTGGCATTAAGGATATTTACTACCTCTTCTAGTAATAATCCACCTGGTAATGCTGTATCTATATTTTGATGCTTTCAGAAATTTTTGAATGTGGAAGTTATATTATCAAATAATTTCAGGCTTGATTTCAAAGACATCAGTTGGATTACATAATAATTGTGAACATAATTAAAAGGATGCCTAGAGGTCATCTTGGAATCTAAACAGTCGTACACTTCTTTCTAAAGTTTCATATTTATAACTGATTCGAACTTAGCATTATGAACATGTCTCACTGCACAGTTTGATTTTTCACAAAATTTTTCACTCATATGCTATTTTCCTTCTTAAAATTTTACAATAAATATCTTAAACTGTTTTTTATTTCCTTTGAGTTCATAATACTGCCAATAGTGTTCTTTCTCTCGTGAAGTTAGATAATGTTAGTACACCTTAGCTTAGAAGATACAATAATATTTTCCAGGCAACTCAGTTGTTAGACCTCATTGGCTCTAGCCTTAGGTCCTTGAGATGGTCTATAATCCCACTGGGGTGGGCTGTTAGCTTAACAGAACTTTAGTTTTGATGAGACAAAGAAGGACTTCCAGAGCATTGCAGAGATGAAGGATCTGGTCCTAGACAATATCTACGTACTGCCATGTTTTTAAGGCTATAGGATAACGAGAACAGTAAATGGCTTCCATATTTTGATTGGAGATTTCTGAAATTTTATGGCTTATTTGAATAGATTGCAGCTGGCAAAAAGTGTTCAGACATATCTCAATTCCTGAAGAAGTTAAGAGGAGTAGGGAAAATCGACAGAAAGACTGACTAGATCAGTAAGTTAGACAGCCAAGGTCTGCAAGACTGCCTTTAGATGTTTTGAGAGTGATTGATAAATGGATTTGTAGATTTTATTTTTACGAAAATTAGACTTTGAAATAAGTTCATACTGCTAGATAACTCATTTTTGAGATGCGCTCTTTTAATAATATTCTTAATATCTCTGGATAAAATTGCTAATGTTAAAGGATTTATACGTTGCTTTAAGTCTGTCTTACTTCCTTATCTACTATCGTATATTTCTATTATAGATCGCAACAAGATCCTTCAGTGAATGATTCGGAACAAGTAAAAGTAATATCAACAGTTTTAGGATGAGAATCAGCTCCAAACAAAGGATAAGAAGATAAAAAGTTCAGCATTACATCATAAACACTCCTTTGAACCCGAAGACTGTGACACTAGCATTTTCCTATAATAAACTGTATAGGCCAAGCAGATAAAAATTCAGATCTTAAGCCAGGTACTTCATTTTTAAACAGTCCATTTAGTCAGAAAAGTTAAAAAGCTGAGATTAAAATAATGCCTGCACAAATATAAAAGGGCTTAGCTTTCCGAAATAAAATCCTAAAAAGACTAAAGAGAGAAGCTACTCTTCTTCCTTTTGTGAACACCCCCAGTGATCCTACAGGAATGAAGAGACTAGACGTTCCTTTGAGATCAATGAAGACAAAAGCAATCAGATGTCCTTCAAATAGCTTTGAAATGTCCTCTCAAGCCCATTCGAATAGAGGCATTCCTAAATAATATCAGCAATTATATTACTAAAAGGATGAAGAAAGAAGGGTACTTAAATAGTGAAATTTCTGAAGCTTCAAAGTAAGATAAATATCCCCTGAGCTTTTGATTGGCTAATCTTGCCTATAGAAAGGCAACAGGTGGTTCAGACAGAGGCTCTCCGTATAAAAAGAACGTATCCACAAAATACGTTGGTAATCTCAGCAATTAATGTTCTAGATACCCCAAACATTAAGCTGAGTATTGCTTTGAATGTTCAAGAAGAGAAAGATAAAAATGCTTCGAGGAATCCAGTCGATCAGTCTCTTGATAGTAGACTTAAGACGCCTAGTAGCACAGTCCTGTATTTCTAAATGCTAATTTTTAGATATCAACCTCGACTTTCTTATGATTTTTCGTCACTAAATACTGACTTAAAGAAATCAATCGATAGTAATATTTCTTTCACCTCTAGACCAAAATCGCACAGTATTTGTTGAGAACAACTCAGAAAGCTACCAAACCTCCAGGTAAGTCTCTCTAACCCCAAAATAGCTATTCTGGCTATCCAAAATCATCAATTTCTAACCCAGATCCCATACCTCCCCCAAAAATCACCAAGTCCACATCCCCAAAATCCCCTATCCCAAAATCCCCCCTTGCCCCAACAACTCCTCTACCAAATCCCATCACAAAACACAACTCAAGGTACAAAACTTCTCTTCCTAAACCTCCAAATTCCTCTCTCCAACCAAAAATTTCACTCAAATACTCGTTCACTCTAAAATTTCCTAGTCAAAAAATTTTTAATTTATATTTTGGTGTTTATTTTGGAACAAATTTTTAGAAATTTGTTTATGGAGGTTTTGGGTTTTTTGGGTTTTACTTCACCTCACTCCCGAACCTCTAGAGCTCCAGAACTACTCACACAGACTACAAAACCTCTCCACATTACCTAAAATTCCATTGGCCGTCCTACAGTCTTCCTACGTTCGTAAATCGACAGCTTTACCTTCTGGCCCTACAGCTTCGTTGCAAGGTGCCTTAAAGACACCTGGCCAGGAGTCCCACCGGACTCCTAGGCTGGGGCCTGAGCAAGGCCACATCTTTGAAAGCCTGGTCAGGCCAAGACTTGGATTTGTCAAGGAAATGCTGGTCATGGTCAGGAAGAAGGTAAAATTTCAAGGAAAAAAGGAAGTGCTGAGATTGAGTAAAGGAAGAGTCAAGAGATTTGTAGTAAGAAGAGCTACTTTAGATAAAAATACACATGCAGTAGGAGTGATGAGTGAGTGTATTAGAAAGATTAAGGAAGGGAGCTTTGGAGTAGCAGAGCTAGATTTGTTGAAAGGACAGAAGAGATTGAAATAATACAGCACTTTTGAAGTATGTGTCAGGTTTGATGAGATTGGTACATAAGCCATTGAACAAACTACAGATATTTAAGATCGAAAAGTCGTTATCAATAATCGAATCTCATCTCTCAAATAATTCACATCAAAGAAGTAAATCACCCCTAACATTACAGATTCCTCACTTCCTACCCCTAAAATTCACACCAAAAGATACAAATCAAGCTCTCTATACAGTAAAATCGCAACTTACTCAGTTTCTCGCCCCAGAGAACTCCAAAAAGCTAATTACAAAAAGATAAAACTTCCAAGTATCAAGCACTAATAATCTTCTAAATTTCAATAGAGATCTTTAAAAAAGGGGTTTTGGGGTTTTGGGGTTTTGGGGTTTTGGG